TCCCTCTACTATAGGAAAAAGCCCCTTTTTGATCCCTGTACCGAAAAAATCCCCTTTTTAGTCCCTAAATTTCAAAATCCGGCCCCTTTTTAGTCCTTCCGTCAGTTAAGTGACAGAGTGGCACTATAATCTGTTAAATCTTTTGTCTTTTTTCTTTTTCATTGTTGACGTGTTATTACACGCTAATCAATAGAATGCCACGTGGAAAAAATTGATGATGTGGACTAAAACAAACTTGATGGTATTTTTCTTTTTTCATGTGATATTTTTTTCATATTTAAATAAAAACTCACATAATTTATTATTATTATATTCTTTTTCTTCTTCCTCCTTTCTTCTCTCTTATCCCTCCGCCCCTTCCTTTTTCTCAACCTTCTTCCTCCGCGAACCCAGCAAGGGGGTTCCATGAGGAACCCAAGACCTAGGTTCATGAAACCCAAATCTGGGTTCCTCGCGAAACCTAGTTGCTTGGTTCCGCGAGGAACCCAGTAGCGGGTTTCGCGAACCCAGCAACTGGGTTTCGCGAACCCAGCAACTGGGTTTCGCGAACCCAGCAACTGGGTTTCGCGAATCCAGCTACTGGGTTTCGCGAACCTAGTCCCAAATCTGGGTTCCTCGCGGAACCCAGAGGAACCCAGTAGCTGGGTTCGCGAAACCCGCAAGGAGCCTTGGATTCTTCTTCTTCTTCTTGATCGAACTCTGGGATCTTCGTTCGATTTCTGTTTGTTTTCCTTTAGTTCTTTACCTTCTTTCTTTTGATTGAAATGCATTATGTAGTTTGGATCATGTTTTCTTTGAATGTGTTACGAAATCGTGCTCGGTTTTGGTTGATTTGCTGTAGAATAGCTGGAAGTATATGGAGATGGAATTTAGAGAGAAAAGGTGCTTTGTTGAGCATAGGCTGTGATGAGCAGGATCCCAGATGCCCATATTGGTCCCATTCTGATCACAGATTTCAGTTCTTCCACTCGATGAACAGTGTTTAATCTCCATAGATTGGGAGATTTTGTGTTGTATTCTTCTGTCACGATGGCTGCCTTATCTAGAAATCTACAATTCAAGCATGTATGACATTAGAATTATTTTGTCCATTTCCCTTTCAATCATGTACCTAAGTCCATTATTGCGTTTGTCTGCTTTCAGACATCAGACTTGCAACTTGTGTGGTTGTGTTTCATGAACCTAGGTCTTGGGTTCCTCATGGAACCCCCTTGCTGGGTTCGCGAAGGAAGAAGGTTGAGAAAGAGGAAGGGGTGGAGGGATGAGAGAGAAGAAGGGAGGAAGAAGAAAAAGAATATAATAATAATAAATTATGTGAGTTTTTATTTAAATATGAAAAAAATATCACATGAAAAAAGAAAAATGCCATCAAGTTTGTTTTAGTCCACGTCATCAATTTTTTCCACGTGGCATTCTATTGATTAGCGTGTAATAACACGTCAACAATGAAAAAGAAAAAAGAATATTTAACAGATTATAGTGCCACTCTGTCACATAACTGACGGAAGGACTAAAAAGGGGTCGGATTTTGAAATTTAGGGACTAAAAAGGGGATTTTTTCGGTACAGGGATCAAAAAAGGGCTTTTTCCTATAGTAGATGGACCAAAAAGGGTATTTAACCATATATGTATAATATTAGTTTAAAAAATCTCACATTTGATAGTGTACATTTTTATTACCGAATTTATGATTTATGAGATATATAATGTATTTATCGATACCATTTGTGGCAAGTTAAATATTAACATATATATCTACAAAATTTTGATAAAATCGACAACCAATGGTAGTTGTCAATTATACGTTTATGCCACGTCATCTAACAAAAAAATAAATAAATTTTGCAGTGTAGCAAATTCAAAATATAACCAACATAATATAATCAATAGAAATGTTATTGATTATACTTTCTATATATATGGAGACAGAAGTAGAACCTTTAAACATCTTTTCAACTCATCTTCTCCTAAATTTCTAGTCCTGCTTCCCTTTTCTACAAAATTGTGCGCCCCATTTTTCTTTTCTACCTTGCTTCATCTTCTCTCTTTTCTTCTACTTTTCTAAATCTTTCATTGTCTTTTCCCTCTTTAACTTTCTTCATCTTCCCCTCTCGCTAAACTCTACCATTTTAATTCTTAGTCTTTTCCCTTTCTAGGTACCTCTCTTCATTTTCTTTCATTGTTTTTACATTACTTCACCTTCTCCCTCTAATTCTTTCTACCTTTCTAAGTCTTGATTTTTTTCCTTTTTTTCATATATTTTTGTTTCTATATTATCCAATTATTTTTATTTCATTTAATAACATTTGTTTTTCTTTTGCAAGTTATTAAGGTTGAAATCATATTATGAGGTAAAAACTAATACTACTTTTGATTTATGCTTTCAATTTTTTTTCATTATTCTCATTATATTTGCAAAATATTCTAGTTTTTCAATTAGTTTTGTAGATTTATGTATACATATACATTTATATTGTTGCAGCCCACAATTGTCTTATATATTTTTTGGTTAATATTTATAATTTAACTAATAAATATAAAATTATTTTTTTAAATCTAATATCGACATAATTGACAACAATGGCTATCGATTATACACATACATTTGATAGCCTATGGCTATTGATTATACTTTATTAAATTATTAAATATATTTGCTAGGCACCTAGTTTAATCAACAAAAATTTTGTCGATTAAAGCTACTATAATTGATAGAAAACATTTCTATCAATTATACTTATTTTTTACAGGCATTTATTTGACAATTTTCACTATTGATTATATCTCTCGATTATGGGTATAACCGACATAATTTTTTGTATAACCGACAAAATTTTATATCAATTAAAAACTGTTTTTTGGTAGTGAAACAAACAGGAATTTGGGCCTGTTTACTTGAATCATGGTCTGCAAAAACATAAAAAGATTTCAACCCATAGAATAAACAATATAAGGTTCAAAATAGAAACAAAAAATTTACAGTATATTTTTCTGCTCTAAATTCTAGCAAACTATTATGTTCCCTAATTATTATTATTTTTTTGTACTTCTTTTATCCAAAAATAATTAATATTTTTTAATTTAGAATTTATCTCAGAATAATAGTCATTCTTTTATATTTTTCCTATTATTTCTTGATTTTGATTAATTATCAATCTTATCATAAAAAAAATCCTTTTATTTTTATTTTTTAAGTTAATACAGATAAAAGTGTAAATTATTCTCAAATTAATCCTTAATCTAAAGATAAAATAAAAAACATTTATCATTTTGAGAAGAAGGGGTTATGGATGCTGCTATTATCTAGAGGTCTTTTGTGCATACTTATAAAATTGTAATTCATGTAGTCAATATGGTGTAATTGTTTTTTCTTGGCCCATCCCATTTCACCAATTAAAATTAACAAAATTGTTAACTAACAGTAAGTGATTAACAGTAGCAACTTAAATGAAAGTTAGGAGACTAAATTTATAAATTTAAAAGGAGAATGATTAAGTTAAAAGTTATGATAAAGGTAGGTGATCATTTTTGTAGTTTACTCATATATATATATATATATATTGTAGTTCAAACCGTAAAACACCAAATTCAAGTGCTATACTTATTCGAACGTTACATTTTTTTGTCAAAAGTATTCTTTCAATTATACCTAGTTATGATGAAAATGTGAAACGTGCATTAAGCTAAGGGCTCCATGATCCATCTGATGGAAATAAGGAGACGTGGTTGTCCTCATTGCCACGTACAGATATATAGACGGCTAATGCTACTAGATAGATCGTCATCAACATTATTTGACTTCAATTATAATGTTTATTTTAGAATCTCTCTTTTACCGTCCAAACTGTAAAACATCGAATTCAAGTGCTATACTTACTTGAAAATTACACTTTTTGTCAACAAGTGTTCTTTCAATTATACCTAGTTATGAAGAAAACGTGAAACGGGCATTAAGCTAAGGGCTCCATAATCCATCCAATGGAAATAAGTAAAGTAGACGTGGCTGTCCTCATTCCCACATAAAGATATATGGATGGATAATGCTACTAGATTGATCATCACCAGCATTATTTGGCTTTAATTATAATCTCTATTTTATAGAAAATACTCCCCGCATTGATCAAACTCAAAAGAGGGGCCCATGAAGTTGAAAATGGGCTTGGTGCTGATGGGGGCACCCTGGGATTTGGAAAGTTGAAAGAGAAAGGTATATGTGGCAGTAGTGTGGGTGCCGGCTTTGACCAGCAGAGAAAAAATATATAGAAAATTTTTTTAATTAAAAAAAAGGGTAAAACTATCCGCTCTCCAGATGGAGAGAAACCGGCCCTTGGGGTTTATTGCTGCTCCGCCGGGAGTTCCCGCCGGTCAATGGCCCGATTCCTCCATTCTCACCATCTCATTTCATCTCTCGATCTCAACGGCCACTACAATCTTCTCTACCACCCATCGCCCATGCCCAATCTTTCATCAGCCGTTGCTTATAATAGATCTAATTTTTACAAAATCCCTAAAAATTGATAGTTCTCTTGCTTCTCCACCATGTCTCAACTCCGTTGCAGCTTACACCCCTCATCCTATAGTAATCCCTTCCACCACCTCACAATCTCGACATCTCGAGTTCACACCCATTTCCAAAATACATAAACCCTATCCATCACCTCTTGCAACTTCACATGGGTGGAGCCCTTTGGCAAAACTAAAGATTTATTCTATTACAAATTTATTGCAAGCGCATCCTAAAAATTAACTTTGATTAGCTTTTAGAACACTTACAACTTCCATCGACGAATTGCCCAAAGTTTTTGTTGGGAAGAACGGTGTATTATCGAATAACGAAAATAAAAAATAAAAGTAACACCAAAGTCTTTTTTAATTTAACAAAGTTATTAAAAGCAATCTAAATTGAGTCTAAATAAAATAATAGTATTAACTAAAATGTGCAAAATGGTAAATATAATTAAATATAATTAAGGCAAAATAACAATCACAAGAGATACAAGAGTATTTAGGTGAAAAATTTTAAAAATGGATAAAAATTACGAGATATGTAGTCTATTAAAAATACCTTTACTATAATTAAAAAGAGTATAGAATATCCTTTTAAAAAAAGCACAAAAACAATATTAAACAAGAGAAACAACATGCTATAAACTAATAAAAAAAAATGAGACAACAAAAAAAACAAATCATTAAAAATAAGTTACTATTGTGGGTACAACATCTAAATTTACAAAACTCTAAATGAAAAATTGATAATTTATAATGTAAATTAATATCTCATAAACACCTAGATAAAATTTCAATTCAACTCAAAGATGAACTTTTACATATTAGGCAAAATGACAAAGTTGGACACAAAATCAAAACTGCAAAATTTTTCCCTTTTTTTTTTTTTCCTTATTTTTGCCACTGGCTCCACTCACACGCTCTCCACCTTCTGCTGCATAATCTCGAAAACAAACCTAGTTTATGTGTCTAACGAGCTGCAAATCATGGGCTAAAATGTGGGCTATATATAGGCTTAGTCCAACAAATATGGGTCATTTCTTCACCCAAACGGGATAGGCCTAACCCAACTGTACTCCTCATATTCACCTCCTCCTCCGAGATTGCTTGAATTCTCCACTAATTGTCTTTTCTCTGTCGACTAGTAGTTATGAGGAAAATGTATAATGGATGGCAAAGGTTAGGGTGCCACGAAAATTAGTAAAGGGAATAGAGGGAGAGCCGTAGGGGAAGCAGTTTCCAGGAGAGAGATTTTTTTATTAAAGGTTCTTTAACAGTGAGGAATGTGGGGGAAACGACTTCATCCCTCTACATAAGCTAGGGCATGTACTTCCCCAAGGTGGCCGGTAACCGCAAGTGCTTTTATTAAAAGTTTCAATTTATCCACTTTACTGGTGAAGCTAACGTTGTCTCTTCTAGTGTCCTTGCAATAAACTCGTTCGAGAGACCTTCCGAAGCTTGCGGTGATTTGTTTGATAATGCTCTCCATTATTTCTATCAAGAAAAACAAAACCTCTTGCTCATTTGGTCAAGAAAAGTTCGCTGTGACGTATGCCTTCGGGGTGTGTGTTAGAATATATGAACATGTGAGGGGAATTGATTGATGTGTAAAATTCTTATATCAAGGAAAAATAAAGTATTAAAATGAAATATATACATGGGAGGCTCATGAATTAAAAGAACATGTTTTTTGAGTTCAATATGACATCTTT